GAAGTGCAGGGACATCATAGGCCGAGGCCCACAGTGAAAAGTCCCAGGAAATACCAGAAGAGAAGCCACACTCTAGTGACTACAACTTCTGGTCACAGCCTGCAGCTGTCTGTCCATGTTACCAGCAGCCTGAACCACATGCCAAACTACAATGACCCCCACAGAAGCAGGCACACTACTGCCTGGCACCAGAGCTATGTGGGTATTCCCAACATAGTTAACACAAGGTGTGTCCTGGGTTGGATGCGTTGACTGTCAGGCTGGGAGTGGGGACAAGGAAATTGCCAGGGGTCCCTGAAATATGCTACAGAGCCCACTGTAGGATGCAGGAGCCTGGCCAGATGAACCTTCCAGTGGCCTGTGGAGAAGTGGGTACTTCCAGGTAAGCCACGTGTCTGATTTGGTCTACAGTGAAGGCACACATCCTATGGTGAGGGGAAGAAAAGGGCTTTGGGGTGAGTGGCACTCTGCCCTGGAAAGTTGGGGGTGGGATGGAGCAGTGCCTGTCTCATGCTCTCGTGGAGACTCCCATAGCCACTGGCACCACCACACATGACTGCTCAAACCTGGGGAAGAAGACATCACATCCAGGCCAAAACCAGAGACCTCTATGACCCAGGAAAGGGATATTTCCTGCGGCTCCAAATCTAGAAGCAATAAAGAAAAGATAAGGTTGACACATGAAAACTGTGTGCCACTGAATGGCCACCACTGGGATTCAAGATCTAGCGAAACAAACTTCCAAGCTGACAGAGGCTGTATAGATGTAACTGAGAAACACCTAAGGCCCACTTTGCAGAAGATGAAGAGCAACTAATTGTGGTCCTTGCTCCCTGTGAGGGTCGGGAAATCCCATCACAAGAGGAAAACACAAATGCACCCAAGCAGGAAGACATTAGGCTGCATCCTTCTGGGTTTTACCACCAATGATCCTCTTGTCCTCACAGTCCCAGCCATGCTGGCCTGCACTCACCTTCCCAGCAGGATCACAACCATTTCAGCAAGGCTCGTAAAATCCACATGGCCCCATGTCTAGCCCAACAGTGAATAGTGATGCATGGGGTACTCTACTCTCACGCCAGCTGGCTCCAGGCTCTGGATAGCCCTGCCAGAGCATGACCTGCCTCAGGTGCAATATCCACCTCTGGCCGTGTTTCAGGGCTCACAGCTGTTAGATGAGCAGTCCTTAAGTCCCTCAAAGCACACCACAGAGTACCCGGAAGGCATAACTGGCTCTCCTCAGAGTATAGAGTCACACAGTCCTCAAGTCCTTCACAAAGTGTGGGATTATAAAATTCAGTCTTCTAAGTCTGTCACAGTATGCGGGTCACACAGGACAGTCCCCAAGCCCCTTGCAGAATTTGGGAATTCCATTCCTCAAGCTTTCTACATGTTACTCTATGCTAGGACAGGGCACATGGGACAGATGTCCCAGACCTGGTCTGTAGAGGAGACCTGAATTTGTGGTCCCCACAAGAACTGCCATGGTGGTCCTGCCAGAAATGATGCATAAAAGTCTCCTGGATGATGTAGGGTCCACCCTGATGTGTTGGGTAGAATCTGGGCTGGGACACTTGAAGGATTCATGAGTCAGCAATAACATACACTGTCCCCCACCCACCACCCTTCAGTGTCAGTGTGCCCATGCCCTCCTGTCTTCCCTTTGGGCCCAGTTTGTAAGTTCTCCATACAAAGGCCTTTCTGACTACCAGATCTGGGCCCCTTATGTTCTTCCTGCCCTTTAACACACAGCCCGGCAGTCGTGGATGCAGGGGAATTGCCCTATCTGATACCCCAGTACCGGGGTGGTGGAGACCAGGGATGCCAACTCTACCCAGTCCTCCTTCACCTCTTCCACTTGCAGTGATGACATTCACTGATGGCTCTGAGTGCCTACATACCATCCAGAAGAGGGTCCCGGTGGCCAGAGTGGCATACTGCTCAATAGTGGACAGGACACTGAAGATGAGGCAGACCAGAACAATGAGGAAGCTGTGAGACAGGGGACATATGGTCAGTGCCTGGTCCAGCTGCCCGGCCACCTCCCTCCTTCCCAACACTCCACACATAAGATCTTTAGTGCTGACAACCCCCAAGTATCCCTCAGCTAGTGCACTCAGATATGGGGTCCACAGGATGGAAACCATTTACCATCAAAAGAACTGACCCCAGATTGGTGTCTCAATGTACAAAGACCTTGAAAATGTCATAATATGTGGCCATCCCACTCCCATCCCAAGAACATCTGTCACCTGACTGCTCTGGACCAGCCAGTCCACAGGAATGTCACACATGGGGGAGGAGAACAATGGGTCAGGGTCTCCTAGGAGGCTCAATGGTCCAATCTCAGAATGTCCAAGAACCTTGGTGTATAACTGAAGATCAAAAAGAGCCAACTTTACGGACTGGGAGCCTCCATGCCCAGGAGTTCAGGAGGATACAGTCCCTCAGCAATGGGGAAACCAAAAAAAAAAAAAAGGCCAAGCACAGCCAGGACCTGTACCCTGAGGGCACCCTATCACACGGAGGGCACAGTTGCCACCTGCTCTGATTCCAAGGGCACTGAAAAGATAAGTCTCCCTTTCACTGTGTTCTCCATTCAAGTCATCATCCAAGGTGGCCTTCAAAGTTGCTACCACTTGGGGGACGGGGTAGCAGATAGGAAGACACTTGGGAAAGAGCGGTGCGTCAAAGACTCTGCATGGCCTCATGGCAGGTTCTTGGGGATCAGAATGGAAATGGGGGAGCTGACACACTGTCCCAGGGTCACAAGAGGGGCAGACAAAGAAGTCATGCACAAAGACATCAGGGCCCTAGCCCAGACCCCTTCCCACACCTTCCACCAATCCCATATCTCGTTGTCCCAATATATAAGCCCAGACCACCAGCTTCAACATCCCAGAGGCCACGTAGCAGCAGTGACCTGACTCAGTCACAAACTTTCCTGGAGGAGGCACAACTCACATCTCCTGCAGCACCTCCCAAGACTTATTCCACCTATTCCTGGCCTTTGCAGTCACTGCTAGAGGCCTGGAGAAGTGACAGAGCCAAAAGCCCTACTGGACCCTCCTTCTGCCTGCCCTTCCAGGTCAAAACCTGCAGTCACAGCTTGCTATGCCTCCCCAGTGACAGATGCTTCATTCGTCATGCCTACTGCTCCACCATACACACCCTGGCCTCCTTCTTACCCTAGCCCAGGTGCCCACCCCACCTCCAGCTCCAGCTCCCACATCACACTAATGTGGTACAGCAGTAGACCCACTCCTGGCTACCTGTCCCTCCTTCTTAGTCTTGAGGACCTGAAGTCTCTGCCCTGCCTGAAGGCAGAGACTTCCTGAGGCTCCTACAAAGTGGTCCCATCTCATATGCAAAGAGGTTGATCCAGTGCCCACCCACCCTGTCCCCCATGCCACTTCAGTCACAACACTTAGGGCCAAGTATCTCTGCCAAGTCCTAGTGCCTACAGTCACCCCCCAGTCAGCGAGCATCTCTGGGACAGGTGCCTGACACAGAGCCTGATGTACAGAGACCTCAGTACCCCAACACATACATACCTCCATTTAATGCCAAGCTCCTGCCCTCCTCACCACCCTATGGCAACCTCATGGCATGGCAGGCAATAGCCCTAGTTGGCACTGGACTCACACCAGGACACTCACCTGGAGCATACATCTGATTTGGCCCCAGAAGAACCCCTGGGTGGGCTTCAACCCTTGCTACTGCTACTCCCCAGACTGAGGCCTTCTCCACAGGCCTAGAGCTCTGGCTGTAGCCACCCTCTAACCTTGGCACCCAGTACTGCTACTAGGGATTGTTTCTTCACATCCATTCTCCACATTGTCTCGCCTCTGAGGACCCTCCCAGAACAACATGACAGGACACCCAGGTCCTCCTGTGTCTCCCAGTGGTGTTCCTCCTGGCCAGTGTTGTGTCCATCCACGTCTGAGCCATGGACTGTAGCTACACAGCATTGGTCCTTGGAAGCCCCTGTGAGGGGAACCAGTCACATGGGTCCTCTTGGTTCTGTGTGGCCACAGAAAACTCTGAGTGAGGTGAGCACCCCTCTGCTACCCATCCACAGGTTAGGCATCCATCCAGGCCTGCTGAAGAGATCTGGCTCAGTCATGGATCCCTGACTGCTTCCTGGGGCTCTTGAGGCCTTTTGAGACTCAGTTCCTCAGTGACTGGGCTCTGCTCTCTCCTTAGACTGACTCTTCACATAGTGGGACCTCATTGATCCTGGGTGTGTATTGTTTTGACTTGCAACAGGCAGGGAAATAGAGTTGAGTTCATCCCTAGGCAATAGGAAGTAGAATAGACACCCTATCCCAGACCATCAGTTACACATGTAGCCAAAGAGGGATCAGTAAGCACAGAAAGACACAGCCCCTTCTGGCTGCCCCTCCACAGTGACAAAGCCAGGCAGTCCTCATTTCATATTCCTCTTTGGCACATTAGGAGCTTAGAAGCTCCCTCTCATGGAGCTATGGGTTATAGCACCATGCACACCTCTCAGGGGCTCAACACCTAGGAGTGAAGTGGTGACTTTATCCCAAGGTCTTTATTTATCCCAAACTCCTGGTGCCTCCACACATGACAAAAAAAAACCCAAGCACCTTAAGCACCCATGTCAAGAGAGTCTCTCAGGGCACTATACGGCTAGGTCCATGCACTTATCACCTGGTCAGGGCTTGACAGAGAGTAACACCAGTCCCACGAGAATCTGACAGGTCACAGTGTTACCATGCTGCAATCTAGCTGCTATTTCAGATGGGAAACTGAGGTTCCTGAGGCTGCTTAGGTCACACAGGTTGAACCATGGAGGTGACAATGATATATCTCTTAATGGAATTTCGACTCTTTCACTGTTAGGGTGACAACTTAGCATTTTAAACCCTGTAAGGTAGCCTTGACTCAAAGATGGACTACAATAGCTACAGCACTTGAGAATCGGCGAGCTTGTGTGTAGAAAAGGAGCCACGGAAGGAGGGATGACTGCCACAGAGCATTCTGCCCACATCTTCAGGAGGCTCAGGGCCTCAGGAGGGCAGCAGCTGCAGCTGCAGCCTGTGGGTGGAAATTCCAACAGCCTGGAAGGAGGTATCAAAAACAAGGAGACTGTTTTGAAGGCCCCCTACTCTCTGACTACCCCCACCTAGCAGTAGGGAAGGCCTTGGACACACAGACCAATCCCGGGGTAGAGGTGCAGAATAGCTAAGTTCCCAGTGCAGGAAAAAAACCACCTGGTGACCCAGGAGAGTGGCAGGGGCTAGGCAACTTACCTACCACAGCTAGCCCATGCTGACCTGCCCGGGAACCTTGAGGTTGGGGACAATGGTGGCAACCTGCCCCCACATGCTGGCTGCCTTTTATCCTCGAGTATTCCGAAAGCTAAACAGTTCTTCAAATATTTGAACACATTGTGCTGCCTGAGAAAGGGTTATACAGCATAGTTTATTTTTTATCTACTCCTGATAAAATGAGTATTATCTTATTTGCTACTTTATCTGTTCCTGTCCTGGGTGGGGCTGGGAGCCTCAGAGAGGCCGCACCAAGGGTCTCTGCCTTTGGGGAGCTCACAGGCCAGCTGCCCACCCACTTCCTGCTTCTATAGATCAACCACCATCCCTCCACCCTACCTGCATACCCCAGAACCCCAAGGTCAGGCTGTCATAAAATGCCCTCTCCACTTCACCCACTAGGAGCAAGGCAAACTAAGGCCCCGGAAAATGCCTGTGTCTCAACACAAACTCACATGTTCCTAAGAGAGTTCGCTGTGCAGGGTCTAAAACAGGAGGCTCTTAGGAACAATAGCCTGCTTCTTCCACTTGCTCTAAATCAAACTCATCAGCCGTGACCGCAGCCCAGCCCTGAGGGACGTCCAATGCCTTATCGGACATCACTTAATATCTCTGTGCCCAGGTGCCCTGGGAACACAGAACATGGCATCCAGCCAGCACCACATGGCTGCCCCAGCAGGAGGCATAGGGGTATAAGGATCAGTGATGGAGGCATGCACAGATCAGCTATGGTAAATCGGGGCTATGACTCAGAGATCTCCTCCATACATACCAAGTCTCAGACCAATAACTGATCTATGAGAGGCCAGGACTGGGCCTAGAACCCTGGGCACCAGACCCACTCAGGCATAGGCCTGATAGTGATGCTGTCCCCAGCCCTCAACCCCTCATCATTCCATTGAGAAGGGCTATGCTCTATACATGCAAATAGCAGAGGGTCTGTTCCAGAGAGAGTGACCTTCAGCCTAGCCACCGTCACATTTCCAGGGCCTAAAATGTAACACTGAAACATCTCAGGAGACTTTGAGTCATTATATCTGCATACATGATAATAGTATAAAGTGTCCTGAAAGTGTTGTTAGTAGAAATGTCATACACAAAAGGTCACTAGGAACGGGTGGACCTTGAGGACACTTGCTAAGATAAGCCAGGAATGAGAGGACACGCACTTTAGGATACTTCTCTTCAGAGGCCCCTGGAGTTACCAGATCTACCGAGACAGGAGGCAGAATGGGAGGCCAGGGGCTCGGAACAGTTTCGATCTAAAAAAAGAAAGTTCTGGAGATAGGAACAGCTGCATTCTGTGAGTGAGCTATACCCTTCTGACGTAAGCACACAGACACAGTCAGCTGTGTTTCACCGTGGCTAAAATAGATTTAAGAAAGAAAACCATGGGCTGGAGAGATGGCTCCATGACTAAAAGCACTTGCTGCTCTCCTAGAGGACCAGAGTTTCGTTTCCCAACACCCATGAGCCATGGGTGGCTCACAGCTGCCTTTGACTCTGGCTTCAGGGAATCAGATACCCTTGTTTGGCCTCTATGGGTGCACCCATGCATGCATGCACACATGCACATACAAATTAAAAGAAAGAAAACCAAACAAATGGCTTTGACAATGGAATGTGAGCAGGCCAAGCACACAGGCCATGGGCTATAAGTGAAGTTATCAACATTCAAAGGCCCCCTGGAGACAGCTCCCCACAGGCCAATAAGTGCTCAGTGGGCTTCTTGGGCTGAACTAAAATCCTAAGGTACCCATGAGCAAATATAACACTCACAGACTAAATTCCGGTATATGAGTCCCAAGTCCTGTCTAGGGGTGTGTGCTAGGGAGTTACTTGGAAAGATTCCAATCTATCCCTCACATATGCTTCCTGGGAAGGGAAGCCTAGAGTGAGACCCTACTCACTCACTGCCCACCAACCACGCTCACTCCTGAACTCCCAGCTACCTGGCTTTAAGTTGGATGTGGACATGTCCCAGGATACTGAACTTCTAGAGGGGACAGTAGATTTAGGGCTATCCCAGGAAAGATTAGCACATAATGGTACCAACAGCAAATGTCAGTTGTATAGAGTTAGCAGGCATTGGAAGACTCCAAGACTGCCATTTATTTCCTCATAACAGCCCTTCCTATGTGCTGTTCAGAGTAGAGCCTGGGCCAGGCCATCTCCTGAAGGGACATATGTCAATGCATGCTGAAGGCTCAATATGTGCCAGAGGTTGGGCATAATTTCCCTTATCTAAGCCTTGAGTAAAAGGAGTCCCAGGGTGAAGAGTCATAGGTGATGGCTTATCTCAAGCTATGCATCTTCAGAAGTCTCTGAATTGGGGGCAACAAGATAAACACTGCATAGGACACACACAGGGTCACATGGACAGTAAGCTCAGTCTGGCCATTTGGGTCCACAATGCTCAGAATGGGAGAGGCACATGCTGTCCTGGGCTATCTCACTTCCTCTATCTGAATGGCCACCTCCTTTTCTCTCAGATCCCATTGAACACCTCCTGGGAAGACAGTTGACCCTGGTTTTGGGTATTCCAGACATCCCATGATGGTGGACTCCCTCTTACACCCTCAATGGTAAGAGCTTTTTCTACATGAGGCCACACCAGCTTTGGGGGGTGGCTTTGGGGTTATCGTTTAATCTACATCAGGACACCATCAAGCCACCATGATCTGGAGCTCTCCAGAGACAAACTGTGCACCCCCACAGCTCATCCCTATAATGCAAGGTCAGTCCCTGCCAGCCTCACGGAGGGGCCTGGCCTCAGTCTGGTGCCTTTGCCTATGTACAGGACTCCCAGGCCTGAGATTCTTCTGGGCCAGCCACTGTCTACTCCCTGAGATCAGACTGGCTCTAGATCTTTCAAGGCCTGGCTCAGGACATAGTTCGTTGCATTAAAACAGTAGGAAATAGTAGGAAATGCCATCTGTGGTGACCTTCCCAGCTGGGAGGTAAGATTTCCAACACATTGTCTCAGGAGTCCATAAATGTGCTGATCTGGCAAATGCAGCTCCTGTAGATTAACTCCATCCCAGCACTGAGCTCTGCCTTGCCATACCAGCACCAGCTGATACTCTCTCCAGGATCTGGTCCAGAAACCCCAGAAGAGCAAAACGTCCACCTGACTCTGCAGAGCCCCTAAGCCCTCTGCCCACACACTTCCTGCAGGGTCATGGGGTAGAAACCCCCAGAGCACCCCAGTACACCTTGCTCCTCAGGCAGCATCCTCAGGCATCTTAGAGTCCTGAGAAGTGAAGGTCCCTCCTTCCCAGGTATCTATCTATGTCTGGCTCCCTCCAGCCCATTGATGGCTGGAAAACCTCCCTTATTGGCAGAGAAGCCCTTAGTGCCCAGCAGGGGCCCATTGGCTGGCACTCCTTCAGAAAGCCCAGCTTAACAGTTGCTCAGTCAGTCAGCAAACACACACACACACACACACACACACACACACACACACACACACACACACACACAGTCCTTCACTGACTGAGTAACTATTAAGCTGAGAAGTCTCAGACCCTCTTCCAGCTAGTTTAGCTGCCCCTTCTGCCTCTCCAGCTCAGCCAAGCTCTTCACAACCTCTGAATTGGGTCAGTGCAAAACACAGGGGTGAGCCTGCACCTGCCAAGCCATCAGCACAGGTCATGAGCAGATGGGGCCTGTCTCCAGTTGCCAGGTGTAAGGGATGGCAGTAGAACAGTGTCATACACATGGCTAAGCGCAGAGCCTGATTGTTCAGGTGTCCCACATTTGCCCCTCTGAGGGCTGCTCAGGTAGAGGCCACCAGGCCACCAATGAGAGTCATTGCAACTCCATGGCCACCCTTCATTCAACTGGAATGCTAACTAACAACAGGAATATGTGGTTTCCATTTTGGAGTCTCTGCCCAGGACCCAGTGTGCCCCAGCACCCAGAGCAACACCTGACATTGGGCTTCCCCTCCCAGTAGCACCACCAAGTGGGACCCACAGAAGCTTAGTCCCTACCAAGTCACATGGCCAATAAGGCAGCATCCCCAAGCCTAGGTCACAGTTCGCCTCTTAGTGTACCCCAGCACTCAGAACCCTAAACTTATTTCAGCAGAGTCCCCAAAAATAGTCAAGAAAGTCACCCTGCTGTCACCAATATGCCTCTCAGGGAGCATCTTGGTCCTTCTTTCCTGGATTAGAATGCTGACAAAGATCATCCTTGACAAAGGGTTAACCAACCATGTGCACTATCACTTGAAACATTTTTGGAGACTAGAGACATCAGGAAAGTACTTGGCCCACAGCATGATGACCTGAGTCTGACCCTCAGAGCCCAAGTTTAAAAAGCTGGGCATGGTGACATGTGCAAGATGGGCATGGTGACATGTGCCTGTAATCCCAGCACTGGAGAGGCAGAGACAGGCATGTCCCTGGGGATCAGTGGGCAGATAACCTCAGGCCAACAAAAAGACCCAAAAAATCAAGATTGACAACTGAAAAGGGACTGGTTGAGGTTGACCTCTGACTCCCCCCACCACGCACACACTCACGCAAACCTTTTCGGAGCACTAGAGGGATAGGATGGGGATGGGGGGAGGTGTGCTCAGATAATGTGATCATAGCATGGAGGCTGAGTTGAAGAAAAGAGCTGGAAACATTGCAGCCCCTCTGGGCTAGTGGCTGTATCAGTGGCTTGGGGAACCTATGGTGGACAATGCATTGATCTCTATCTCAGAGAAAGTCTGCAATGGTCTGGTGGAGAGTGTGTGTCTGAAGATCTGAAGCCCAGCAGGATCTACTGCTTGATCAGACATACATGACTCCTATGGAGAACACAAATGACAGCACCTACCCTGGAGTAGCAGGCTCTCAGACTTGTAAGATCCCCTGGGGCTACCCCAGCTGGATGGCATCATGTGGAGCCAAGACTCAAGAATTCAGCTGGTAAACAGTGCAGCTTGCCAGCAGATCTGGGTCCTCTGAGGAGCACGTGTACAGGCCACAGTGGCCCTATAGGATATGAACCAGGGACCTCAGATACGGGAAGGTGGAAATGAGCCAACGAGGAATCCATGTTTTCCTGTAAACTCAGTAGGTACCCAAAGGTGGTTTGCCCTTTATTTGAAGGATTGAAAATGGAATATCAGAGAGGGTTTGTGCCCTTCCCAAAGTCCTACAGCACTCAGCAGTCATGAGAAAAGGGCACACAGCATAGGTCTCCATCCACCCATCTCAAAGCCTCCAGGGGAAGCCACCCCCATGGGGGAGCCAGGAGCCAGGGAAGGGGAAGGCAAAGTCAGTCAGTAGGCCTGGTGGAAGGCAGTGGTCTATGCCATAGCCCCAGGGCCCAGAATTCAGGAGAGAATCAGTGGCCTGTGAATATGAGGACATTGCCACTCCTCTAGGGACCTGAGGAGACCAGGGTTAGTCAGTACGAGAGTGTTGTGTCCCTGGGCCGTTGGCCACACCCAGCCTTGATCCCCCAGGCCCGATGATAAGATGCCTTCGAGACTATATTTAGAATGTGTGGTGGGGACAGGCCTGCGTGGCTCACGCTTGTCATGGACTTGTCAGCTGAAGACACCCATGGTTCTCCAGCAAGAAGTGGTATCACATGCAGGCACAGTCTGGCCCAGCAGGCTCATCTGGCTCAGGCCTCTCTGGAAGAAAGTGGGCACTGCCTACTCAGGAGTGGCAGTTAGTTCACTGGGTTGACACATCCCTGCAGACACCTGCATATGTCTACTACATTCTCATAGCTCACCCTTACTTGGGAAATTCCCTCATTACATCAAGCTTAAGTCTTTCTCGCTATCTTCTGGGCCTTATTCCAGAGCTTTTAAGGAATCCTATCCACCAAGCTATTGTACAATTTCTGAGCCTCCGTTTCCCCACAAAGGAGTAGAAAGACATCCATGCGGCTCAGCATCTGTCTGTGCCCAGTAAAGGGGGGGGGGTACTGTCATCAGATCAACCCCCTTGTTCCATGGAACCCAATCCCAGTCACACCATCTAATAGTGGCATCAATAACCCTGGGCGCTGAGACCGCAGAGTCCCCACAAGATGTCATCAAGGGCTTGTGGCCAGCATCCTAGCAGAAGCTTGTTTAGGTCTTACTGTCTTCTCTGGTACAAACCTTCAATGAAGTGACCCAAACAGTGTGGCATCAACAAGGGAGAACTGAATTTTGCATATGGAGTGACCCAAGGCCAGAGAATTGATAAGGTGGTCAGGGGTAACCTACCTCTCCCTCCAGGAACAGGCAGCCACAGTTGTCTCTGTAGGGCTTGGACACTGCCACCCTCTGACCAGCTGGAAGAGTGCAGTGTGGGTGGACAAGGTGGTATGGGGTGGTTCCTAACACAGGAGGCTCACAGACCTAGAACAGGCAATGCTTCCAGCTAGACAAGGCCCTACCCCCAAGGCAAGGTGGTGGAGGGCTTCCCAGAGGCGGAGACTGACGAAAGGACGTGAGCTAGAGAGGATCACTGTGCTCCATTAGGACAGATTAGGTGAGTGGATCTCCTGATCTGCACCCTCAATGCAGATCTGCTTCCTGCTGGAACCCCCATAACCCCAGAAGGACTTCATTGATCATGGGACCTGAAATTTTACCTATGCAAGAGTTAAAGTGACACTCAGATATGCTGACAGCAGAGGGCGCCAGTGAGAGAAAACAGGGTCACCAAACATTGGCAGCCTGCAATAGGTTACACAGAAGAGAAACAGCCACAAGGACCCAAATCAGGCCCAGGGAGCAATTGAGCTGCAGACCACCCAACTCCACAGAGCTACTTTGTAAAGCCTCAGAGGGGACATCATAGTAGTGGTGACCCCACAGAAGTCACTGGGTAGTGTGCTTAGTGTGACTGTATGGAACCCAGGGTCTAGTCTTTGCTCTACCTAGAGAAACTGAGCCCTGAGATCAGCTGGGGGAAAGAATGTACCTAAATACTCTAATGCCAGCCAAAGTACGGATTGCATCTAACTCTTGTCTCAAAACCTCGGCCTGGGTCACTGGAGTAGAGCTCCACTGCTGAAGATGGACAGGCTTGGAGCAGAGTTCATCCTAAGGTATACTTCACCCAACCAGCAGAATCCAGAAGACCAGTACTGAGGCTCCTGGGTGGTGGTGGGGCGGGTAACATGACCTCAAGACTGGAAATGGGAGCCAAGTGGAGCTCTCAACCATCTTCAGAATGTAGCTTCGCCAGTCCTGCTGTCCTGGGAGAGGATTCGTTACAATGAGCTCAGACACCCCATTTATGCAAGCCGTCAATATGAGGAGTGGACATTGGGCTGCCTCTTTCATGGGTGACAAAATGGAGGCTGCAGAAGCAAAGTTTCCTGCTCATAGCCCTCATGCTGCTGCTCCAAAGCCCAACAAGGCTTGTGTTGGAGCAGATAACCTGGCAGGAGGCTCTAGCAGGTCAGAACCGTGCACACTCAGTGTCCACCCAGCTTTGGTGGAACATTCAACCCTGATGTGGGGAGTCACAAGCTCAGGAAGGAAGACCAGAGAATGAACAGATCATATCTCAGGGGCAGCTTCTGCCCCTCCTGGTAAGCGCATGTGTGAGGACCAAGTGCATGTGCTGGACACAGGTGACTTACTACTCCTGGGCACTGGGAGACATACCTATCACTTCCACTTGACAGACCCTGACCTTGATGTTGTGTGAGTGATCTTGGTGCCCTGGTCAGAGGTGTCCTGGAGTCACATACTGGGACTAAGAGGGAACATCCTGGGTCCCTGCAGTCATGCCTGATGGCCTCTAACCCACTCAGCTCAGTGGTTCTCTCCTTGAGAGACCCTCCCTCTCACCAGAGTCAATCAGGCTGGAGGCCTCAGAGAAACCACAGGTCTCTCCCTGAGCTAGGGACCTCAGCCTCCTGAGACCCCACCTCCCAGAGCCCTACTCTGGTTGCCCAAGTGACTTGGGCCAAGAAAAGCCTCTGATGACAAAACAAGTTGGTCACATTCACTTCAGCGCAGCCTCACCAAGCACATAGCCCCGGGCAGCATCTCATCATTGAGACTGTTCTTCTGGGGCACAGGAAAGGCTTGAGCTCTTGGCAGATATCTGCATCATTAACTACAAGACAGAAGGCTTGGGTACTGGGTTGGAGAGTGCCTCTGTAAGTCTCATGTAGTGGGCCATGCAACATTCCACGTGGACAAGGCTTCCCCATGGAAATACGAGAGGACAGTGAACAGGGTTCAGGGATTAGTGATATGAATATAGGGCTACAGGGATGGATGACAGAGATATGAGGGGTCATGGTAGAGGATGGGGAGGGACAGGATATTGGGGATCACAAATGTCAAATGAAAGGCACCAGACATAGTTTCCCTGGCCACCCATCATGGAAACACCACTTATCTTCCGCTATCTCTCAAGTCCAACACTGAGGTGCTCTCTGCACAGTCACTGATACCCCTGATCCCTGGGAGCCAACCAGGCCATACCCATAGTCCTACCTACCTGCCTGCCCCTCCACTCACAGGCCAGGCCAAGTGAGAGCTATCGGTTACTAGGGACTGTGGGGCTCCCTAGACATCATCTAGTGTCCTGTATCAGCCCCATCACCCCTTGCTGCTGCCCCATTCCAGCCCTCTGCTCTCACCAGCCACCCAACCCAGCCATGGTTCCTCCGCTAGGACCCTGGCAGTGTTGCTTCTAGGGGACCAAGAACTCACTGGGCTGTCAGCTTACTCTCAAGGGTTGAACATGGCAGTTGGTTTGGTGGGCACTAAGGCAGAGGAAGGGACCTGGCAGAGCCCTAAGGAGGAGGAATGGGACCAGCAATGAGCATGCCTAGGCCACATGCTAGAGGTCAGTGGCCACACCTCTAGGCTCCAAATGACAGCGTCAAACACGAACACCCAGGGACTGGAGGAAGGCCACGAGCAGTCAAAGGTCTTTTGTGCCCCCAGCAGGCTAGATATACACAGTACCCAAGGTCACAGCCTTGGGGCAGAACTGTGAAGTTTTAAGGACCTGGAACCCAGGTGACTCTGTAAGGAGGGGCTGGCTTCACTGAGTGGCATGACTCTGGCACAAGGCAGATGCTGACCATGAAGTTTTCTGTCATCACACTGGGTTAAGACCCAGAGGAGCCTCTGGAGGCTCCTCTCAGGAAGCCATCCCACTTCCTCCTCCTCTGGCTGGTCAGGACAGACTTAACTTCCTGAGGCTCTTCCTCGGCTACTACGTTCAGCTCTGACCTGTGCCCTCCCCCAGGGAAACCCAAGTATCCTTCAAGGGCCTCAGCTCTCTCCCTGAACTGAGCTGAGGGTGAGGTCAGGCATGCCACACCTCTGGGCCTCCTCCCTGACACTGAGGCTCTGTGGGCTTCCAAAAGCTTGCCTGACTGACCCTTCACAGGGCCACTCTTAGACACTAAGCCTTCAAAGTGAGGGGTGGCTGGTGGGTCTGGCAGGAGGGAGTGACTGGTCTCCAGGGCAGGAATGGGGCAGTGACTTAGTGACAGCCACCAGGGGAAAAGCTCTTTTGGGCTGAATATCCTCATTCTACACGGGAGCTCTGGCCACAGGGCCCCATGGCCAGTGGACTAAATGATACTTACCCAGCACCCAGACTTCCCAGGCCATGGAGAGCCCAGGGTTTAGCTACAGAGGGTCCTGCCTATACAGAGGTTGCACACAGGGGATGGCTGGGCCTGGCCAAGCTCTTCTAGCTCCTGGAAGGTTTTAGAGACACATGTCAATTAGTATCATGTTTTCACTTCATGGTGTCTTCTGGTAGTGCTGTGGCTTTAGAAGGAAAGTCGTGGACTTAACCCTACCTGCCAGACATGGTCCCACCCCTTCTTAAGGGCCCATGGGAAACTCAAGCCTTGATGCACCCTAGCTGTGCCCACCTAGAAAGCACCTACTGTATGCACAAGGCAGGCTCCAGAGATACAACAATAGACAACACAGACACGGGGAAACTAGGAGGGAATGAAAAGTAACAAATAAGATGATAGGAAAAACTCAAGGTGAGGCCACAGTGACCAGAGGGTCAGGGAAGGCAAGGTCACCATGAATGGTAGGCCACAGAGAACAAGAGAGGTCATATGAGTGGTAGGCCAGGTGGTCTCATTGGGTAGCAATATTGAAGCTGTGTCAGAAGACCTGGAGACAGGTGCTCCAGACAGAATTAGCTGCATTTGTAAAGGCCCTGGGCATGGGTGAGGACAGCCCCTCATAACAGGGTCAGAGGAAGCCAGGCAGAAGGCCCAAGATTCTCATAGGCCAACGAAGCCCAGCGGAGCCTGGCAGGCTCTGCAGATGGCTGTCATCCAATGGAGCACATAGCCTGCATCCCAGAGAACTGCAAGTGAGAAGGAGGGTGGTACAACCAGGTAGCATCTTACCTCTGTGGGCACCAACCATAAAGACTGGAGGAAACCCATCAGCCACAGTGTGGGGTATTGGGATGGGTCAGAGAGCACACTGCAGTGGCTGTCTCTTGGAACCCCCAAAGCCTACCCTATGCCACCTTCCTCAGGACTCTCCAGCACCCCTGCCTATGCCCGCCACCTTGGGCTCAGTCAGTAGCTGCTAAGCTCCCTTCTTTCAGGGCCCCCCTTTTTTCCCTGTCTCTTGAAGACCCAGAGACATCAGCTGACAATGCAAGGGGCTAAAGAAAAAGAAATGGTGAGGCAGAAATGCCACCATCTCTATGACATGTGGGAGCTCTCCATGTCACCCCCTTTATATGAGTTGGAACTGCTACTTCCTGCCTGGTGTCTAGAATAGCTAGTCACATCTTCTGCACAGGACCTGGTCTCCCTTAGGCTGAGGACAAAGTCTCCTCCTCAGGTCACTGACCCCCGTGCTCAGGGGACCCAGCCTTCCTGCTGCAGACCAGTTTGGGCTAGAGGACAGTATTTGTCAGACTAGGAATCCTAAGCAGCAGAGACTCTGATCCTAAACATGGAATAGAGGAAAGGCTATAACTGGCATAGGGGCTTTGGGGCTTTGGACTCTCATCAATCACATTCTCCAAGCCAAGTTAGTGAACACATGCTATTAAAATAAAAACCTTTGAGGATGAGAATGTGACTCAGGGTATAAAGCTCTTGCTGCACAAGGTTGAGGACCTAAATTCAAACCCAGAGCATCCATGTAAAAATCCAGGAATGGCCCTGTATGCCTGTAATCCTAGCACTGGGAAGGCATAGACAGGTGGAATTCTAGGGCTCCCTGGACATCTAATCAAGCTGAATGGGAGAGCTCCAGGTTCATGAGAAACCCTGTCTCAAAAATAAGGTGGCAAGTGATAGTCAATACTGATGTCAACCTCTGGTCTGATGGGGAATGGTCTCCTATGTGCATGTTTGTCTTATTGGTTGATGAATAAAGCACTGTTGGCAAATAGGGAAGCAAGATAGGTGGGACTAGGAGAGGTGGAGGATTCTGGGAAATGGAGGCATAGTCAGTTACCATGTAGGACCCCAGAAGAGTAAGAGATCAGGACCCTTTCTCTGGTAAGAGAAGACCACGTGGAAATACTCAGATTAGCAGTTATGGGTTAATAATTAAGTCAAAACTAGCCAATAAGAAACCATAGCAAATAGCCAACAGCTTCATAATTAATATAGTATACTGCATGTTCATTTGGGACTGATGGGGCTCTGGGACCAGGCTAGTGGGAAGAATGCTCATTACACTGGCATGTGCGTGCACATACACACACACATACACACACACACACACACACACACACACACACACACAAACAACAACAACAAAATAAAAATAAAAACCTTTGATGGTTACTCTGTCCTCCGAGCTATGTTTCCCACAGTACAAGGGCAGTCCCTTCTCAGGAACCCCCCAGTCCCCAGTTAGAAGCTTCCCAGACTGCTGCTTGAACTCCTCAGGGACCATGGCTCCCAGTCACTGATGTTGTGTGCCTTCCTCCACGACCCTCTCCCCACTGCAGCTCTGCTTTCATGGCTCACGCTCAGCCCTTCTCGAGCCCTGTGGGAAACCAGAGAAATGATGGTCTTTCTCCTTAAAACCCTTGCCCCCTCTCTAGTATATCAGCCTCTGCTGGAAGCCGGGAAGGCCAGGGCCATCCTCCTGGGCCCCCAGGGCTCTCTGGAAATGCCTCAACTCTCACTCTGTGGAGTCCACTTACTTGCCTCGGCAGCCATCTTCTTCCTCTGCCTAACACACAGGATGTGTATCCCAGGACCCACTGCCATTCCTGTGTGGACACTCAGCCCCAAGCTGCTTCAGATCCCCAGGGCAGTCAGTCTTCAAGGATGCCCTGAAGAGCCCAGACTCCCAAATGAGTGCCTATAAGGCTTCTTTTTGTAACAGTGTTATCTCCTTACAGATACACACCTAAACTTCTGTAACACTGTCCAAACACTGCAGATAAACATTAAATACAAACTTACACTGTCCAAAGTTATCTTTCTTCTAAGGCACACATTAGAAAAACCTAATTGCCCCATAAAGGGGAATGCACATACCCAATCACGAAATAGAACATGGTAGATTTCAATAAAGCAACATAAGTCATCTATTAATCAAGTAAAATAAATAAAGCAAAGCCAATGTCTCCTTGACAGGTGGTGCTGGCCAAACTGGGACTCCACATGCAAAAGAAGAAAGCTGGACTCTTATACCTCACACCATAACCTTACATGTAAGGACTAAAACTGCCAAACCCTGAGAAGGAAGCCTAGAACAAAGGATTCAAGATACTGGATTTAGCAATGATTTCCTTTATAGGACACCAAAGGCTTGAGCCACTAAAGGAAAAACAGACCATCAGACTTCATGAAAATGTAAACAAATGCCACGTGGCAAAAGGTCATATCAACAAAATGGGAGATTTTCAGATCACCTATCTGATAAGGGCTTAGTATCTGAAATAAACAGACTAACATTCAATCTCAAAATAAAACAGCTGATTTTAAACATGGCCAAAATTGACTATATATTCATCCTACCGACTGATACACAGACGGTCAGTAAGCACATGCAAAGATGCTTGGCATCTGAGTTTTGTTTCCTGTCCCTGTGATAAAATACTTTGACAAAAGCAACTTAAGTGGGGGAGGGCTGGATAGATGAACACACAGACAATGCAGTGTAGAACAACCTGAGTTGTCCTTACAAAGGATGAGAACCCAGCCATATGCTACAGAACAAAGGAGCCTTGAAAATAACTGTCAGGTGAACTGAGTCAGTCACACAAAGACACACTGTGACTACACTGGAACAAGGTCCCTAGTGTCAGATTGACAGAGGCAGAAAGCATGAGGAGATAGTGGGAGCTGAGGAGAGGAGTCATCTTTTCATTGGGTCAGGGTTTCAGTTTGGAAGACCAAAAGTTCTGGAGCTGGATACTGGGGTGGCTTGCAGTGTGTTGAATGTGTGTCACAACACCCAGCTGAGAACTTACAATAGTAAGATTATGAAATGCCCTCAATCCCCAGTAAGTGCTGTGTGTTTGAGAAGATTTAGAATCCTTTAGGGGGTGAAGACTCACTGAAGAGAATGAGCCACTGGGGGTGGGGCTTGAGATTTATATCCTGGTCTAACATCCTGTTTTGTCTGCAGGTCCACCAAGATGTGAACAAGCAGCCTCAGGCTTCCACTGCCACAACCTCAAGCTGCTCCTGCAGCCACACCTTCCTTATCATGACAGATTTTGTACCCTCAAACCACAAGCCACCACAAAAACTTCCTCTTCTATGTCGCTTCTTGTCAGGCATTTGCTCATAGCAACTACGAAATAGCTAGTGCAGGTGAAGATAATAACTTATGCTTATTTTACCACAACAAAACCTGATAAGAGGGAACTGGGGAGATGGATCAGCAGGTATGAGAACTGATTGCTGTCTCAACGGATGAAGGTTTGGAGCCCACACAGGGCTCACAGCCATCTATAACTATAGTTCCAGGGGATGGGACACCCTCTTCTGACCCCCTTGGGCATGAGGCACGAACATCATGCACATGGGATGCAGGAGCACACACACATATACACATATACACATGTGCATGTGCACACACTCATGTGTGACAGCTACATGAAGGTCAAGCTGCAGCAAGGAACCCAGGAGTGTCCAGGGGTGGAAAGCAGGTGAAATGCAGTTCTGAGCACCTTCACCATGAATGTCTCACTTCCTTTCCTCATATCCCTAAATCAGCAAGCCCTGAACCCACTTAGGATGGGACACCAGGATGAACCACCAGCCCCATGCCAGTGCAACTCATGACACGCACCCAATAGGGACACACCACGGTGGAGGGGACAAGGGCAGGAAGCCTGCTGTGGACAGCAGGAATGCAGAGCACAGTGAGGCTAGTGACAGAAAAGCTATACAGACACGGGGTGCCTACCCTCCTGGCCACTCCCGAAGAAGTGGTAAACCCCAAACTACCATGTGTGTGCTGGGCCCCAGCAAACAAGTCTTCATGCTGGGAACCCATCCACACTGTGGGAAGAAGATGCTGTAGTAGAGAATGTTTGTCTTGAGGAGCTGGGATTGAGCTGCCATGATGAGGCCTTGTGTGCATTAATACATCCAGGAAGGACACAGGAGGAGAAATGGTGGGCACACAGCAGCATTCTGCCACAGCAGAGATAATCACATGGGGGCGGGGAGTGCAAGCTTGGATTTAGGGGACTGGGTTCCAATCCAAGGAGCCAGATCTCCTCGGATAAAAACTGAGTTTTGGACTGGGATGGGGAAAATCTCAGGTAAGTCTGCAGATTCAGGAACAGGAGAGAAGATCCCACTTATAAAAACAACCCCCTCCCTGAAAAAAAAACAGGGTCATCAGAAAATGACCTAAAGAGACCTGGGTGCTGAAGCCACAGGATTTGAACAACAAAAACAAACAATGCACAGCTGGTCACTCCTGTCATACCAGAACTTGGGAGATGGAGGCAGGGAGACCAGAGGCCTCATTTTGAGGCCCATCTGGGAACCTAAGACACTCTCTTCTCTCTCAAAACAAAAGCAAAAGCACAGGGCTGGAGAGATGGAGCCATGGTAGGAACTCTTGCTACACTAAAATAAGGACCTGACTTTGGATCCCAGCATCCACACAGAAAGCTGGGAGTGCTGGCCAACTATGTGACACCCAGTGCTACGGTGGGTGAAGGCAGGAGGAACCACAGGACCTTGCTATCCACCAGCCCAGCTCCAGGGACCAGGAGAGACTCTGTCTCCAAAGGACAAGGCAAACAGTGAGAGCAGGACACTCACCCCATGTCCTCTTTTAGCCTCTACACTTGTGTACATATACCACATGTGCAGTTACAATACACACAGACAAAGAGAATATGCAACCCAATAATAAAACCCAAATCTAAACAAAAGAACAAATGTCAAGAGTAACAGTGTTGATGTGCTTGCCAGAAAATAAATATTCACATGTTACACTGATATAAATAAATACAGAGAAAGTAGTTAGAGAGCTCTGAGGGAGAACCCCAATTCTCAAGATACCAGATACTGGGAAACATATGACCTGCTCAGCAAATACTCCAGAAAGAATCTCACAGGCAAGGCCCACAGAGGGGACAGGAGGGACAACTCAGTGGTTAAAACCACCAGCTCTTTTTACTGACCTGGATCCAGTTCTCAACACCCACATGGCAGCTCACAACTGCCTGTAACTCCAGTTCCAGGGGATCCAATGCCCCTCGTCTAGTTTCTACAAGCATCAGGCACGGGGGTGGCACATAGACACACATACAGGCAAAACACCCATACACATAACACAAATACATCTAAAATACATGAGACCTACAGAAGTCCCAGGCCAGCCTGGCAAAGGGAAATTTGTGTGTCCGAGGTATCTGCCACAAGATGGTTTCTGAGGTAAGTCTATAGCCCAGCAGCCTCCATGGGACAGCCAAGGTCAAAGTGACCAGTGAAGAGACATGACAGTCCAGCAACCCTCTGATACACTCCTGGGACCTACATGGCAGCTCCTGGTCTGATGTCTCTCAAATTCACAATTTCTATCTGATCACAGAGCCCATCAGAGTGAAGGGGCAGTACACAACAGCTGACATTCCTCAAAATGCCAAGGTCACGAGAGACAAAGACAGAGCTTTCACGGGTGGCAGGAGACAAGGCTAATGTGAAACCAGTATGAAGTGGGGGAATCACAAAAGAGAAAAACGCATTATCAGTGGGATGGCATAAGGCCAGAGATTCAGTTGTCACTTACTGGTGACAATCTTCTGGTTTCGATCATGTGCCCCAGTGATGTAATTTCCTGAGACTATGCGGGCAGCTGGGGAACTCTACACTGTCCTGGATCATTCTCAAGCCCAAAATTATCTCAGAATAAAAAGTAAGAAAAAACGTAGGGATGCTGATCTTATCAACTGTTACTCAAGCCTTCAGTGCTTCCTGAAGGTCTGAGTCACAGCCCTGTGGCCCATCTCCCCTGCCACCTTCCTCTCCCTGTTCCACACCTCCCCCAGCTCATCTGCTCCAGCCCTGGCCCCTTGCTGCTCCCATGAGTGTCAAGCTCATATTCACAGGGTCTTTGCACATGTGGTGGCCTTTTGCAGAAAAGGCATGGCTCACTCCCTCTATTGACTCAGGTCGAGGTGGTGGCTCCCCTGACTATCCTCCTGGAGGGTACTTGGCCCCTTCTCCACCCATCCCTTGTGTGGCTTCTTAGGGGTCTTAGGTGTCTCTGTCAGATGTACTGCACACTGCATATCTGTTTGCACCTCTCACTGCTCTCTGGAATATTACTTTCAGGAGGATGACACGCTTACCTTATTATGTTGGCTTCCCCACAATTACAGGGACCAATGGAGGACAATGGAGTGATAATGAATACAACATGGGGCTAAAGAACATCAAGGGTGTTCCTTCACTGAATATGTTTTGTTTTAGTTTGGGTTTTTTTGTTTTGTTTTGGTTTTTGATAAAAGGTTTCACTATGTAGTCCTAGCTGTCCTGGAACTTTCTGTGTCGACCAGTCTGGCCTCAAACTCACAGAGATTTACCTGCATCTACCTCCTGAGTGCTGTGATTAAAGGCATGCATCACCACACTCAATGAGATTCCATTTTTTAAAATTGTGCACAGGTGCACACGTGTGCATATCCAGGAGTATGGGGGTATGCATTGTACAAGTTTGCAAGGAGCCAGAGGATAACCTTAGGCACACAGACTGAGACAGGATCTCTCCTGGGCCTGGAGCTCATCTATTGGTTACGCTAGCTGGCCAGTGAGCACCAAGTATCCTCTCCTGGCTCTGCATCCCAGAGCTGGGATACCAAGTCCCACTACACTCAGCATTTTACACATTAACTGAGGATCATACTCTGGTCCCCAGAAACACAATACTGGCTGAGCCATCCCTCCCAAAACTAGTTTTGCCCCTGCAAATTATTGAAGTGTTTTGTGGTGATTCCCAGCTTTAGAGGTGGAAGTCGGTGATGTCTGACAAGGTGGCAGAGATAGGTCAGGGCATTTCCTGCAAGCCAGTGTAGCTTTGGGTTCCAGAGCCATAAAACCGTGGGAACCCTTTGATCCTGTCCGTCTCCTGCAGATGATGCCCAAGGACGCAATCCTGAGTTCCTGCTGAACTGTGAGGATTTGCATCAGAGTGCTATTTTTAATAGTAAATGAGGAAGCAGTCCAGGTGTTCACAGGAGAGAGTCAAACAAGCTGCATCAATACCACAGGGGAAAGGCAAGATCCATGCAGAAATACACAGAAAGCTTTAAAAAGCAGGTCCAAACAAGGCCAGCATTGTGATTTTCTCAAAAGTCTGCCTGAGCGCATGGACACAACAGTGCTGCTGAGTGCCTCCTACTGCTTGCACTGACCTGCTGTTTGACAACTTACTTGCCTCACCCTGGAACAGGAGCCATGGACTCCCACAGCTCCCATTTCATAGAGGAAAAACTGAGGCAGTAACAGGGAAGACAATGGTAAAGAGCCACAGCTTGGGGAAAACTGCCTCCTAGTTCAACACCATTCTGGTTTCATCTCTGTGGCTATGTAAAACACTGACAGAAAGTAACTTAGGAAAGGGGGCTATTTGACTTGTAACTTACAGTTGACAGTCCATCATTGAGGGAAGTCTACAGGAACTCAAGACAGGGACCTGAAGGGAGGGACTGTGGAGGAATGCACCCTCCTGGCTCTCTCACATGACCATACTCACTAACTTTCTTACACAGGCCAGGACCACCTGCCTAGGGAATGATGGCGTCCACAGTGGGATGGTTCCTCCTCCACCAACAATCAAGACACCTACAGGCCAGTCTGATCTGAGCAATCAATCCCTCAAAGGAGACACCCTTCTCAGGTGATTCTAGGCTGTCATGCTGGTAACTAAAGCTAACAAAGGCAACCAGAGTGCACCCTATGTATACATAAGGCCTCAAGTATGCTCACACATGCATACACACACACACCACTGGAGAGAAAAAATCATACAACCTTTTACACAAGAAAGTCCCTTTGAAAAAAGATACTGAAGGACCTCCAGTTAGCCTCATTAGCTTTACTTCAATGAATTAATTTTATTTTCTTCCTTGAAATTCCCCAGTGTTCTCTGATGAGCATTTCTGGATGTTATGATCAGAAGAACAAGCAGAAAACCATGACTGCCCATTTGGCAAGGAAGATGTTCAGAGGTCTGCACAACAGGGGTGGCATCACCACGAGTCTGATTAGGGCAGTGGTGCAAGTGTCACCATCTGTCCCTGGGTTCAGAAGAATGGCAGACATTATTATGTGACCTTTCTCTAGTTTATCTGTCCATTATGGTTTGCCAAACTACCAGCTTAAAAATGTTTTTGATTATCTGTAGCTAAAAGTCTAATTTTTAGAAATAAGATTACCCAAGACTAAAATTATGATGTGTGTATTAGTTAATTTTCTTATCTGATCAAATACCTTCCAAGAAGCAACTTAAGGGTTTGCTTGAACTCAAGGCTTTGTGTGTATAGTCAGCATGGCAGAGAAGGCTGTGGCTTTCAGCTCTGGCCTGGGGCTGCTTGTTCACAGGTAGGCGTTTAAGGAAGCCAAAAGACAGGAAGTAGGGCTAGCTATAACAATAAATGCCTACCTCCTTCAGTAACCCACTTCAGTAAGGACCCAATTCCCAACCTCCCCAAACAGCGCCACCTGCTGGGACCAAGTGTTCAAGCACATGAGCCTGTGAGGGACATTTCTCATTCAAACAATAGTAGAATCTCTCTTCCCCACCTTTGTTCCTAAAGAACTAAGAACCACTGCCAGGACAAAACAGTGTGTTTTGCTTTTCTGATGTTGTTCTTCATTCTCATCTCATATTCCTTTGTCTTTCCTTGATTTCTTCACTTGTTTTTAAATATGAAATTCCACACAGCTATGAATTGGCCTCAGAGAAGAGATGTATATGCAAACCTTTGCTTCTTCAATTCTATTATTACATGGTCATAATAGTTGTCACTATTTTTGAGTATGTTTTTCTTCTGAAACTTTTTATTAACTAAACTTTGTAATTAACAACCAATGACTGGTTGAGATGGGGACACTTACTATATAGGCTCTAAATTTTGGAATGCCTGAGGTTTTTTATAGTCTAGGTAACATGGGTAGCTTTGAGTGTCCCAGATGTGCTAGAAAAGGAACAAGTTTTAACTATATTAAAAAATTCAAAATTGGACCAATGAGATAGCACAGAGGGCCAAGGAGCATGCCATCAAGTCTGATGACTTGCATTTGATCCCTGGGGCCCACATATTGGAAGGAGAAAACAGACTATTATAAGACACTTTCTGACATCCACATACATGCAATGATATCTAACCTCTCTATGCAAACACTGGATACTCAAAATAAATACGTATAAATTTTTAAATTAAAAAATGGGAGGTGGCTAGTGAGATAGTTCAGCAGTTAAGTGTGTTTGCTGCTCCTGCAAAGGACTGGGGTTGGTTCCCAGTGTCCACAGTAGGAGGCTCACAACTACCTGTAACTCCAACTCCATGGGATCCAGAGGTGAATCCAGGCCTTTGGGGGCATTCACATACAGATATAAACACAGATGCACAAATAAAAATGGGATGAACCTTTAAAAATGAGTTTTGGGGACGGAGCAGTGACTCTGTGGTTAAGAGAACCTGCTGCTCTTCCAGAGGACCCAGGTTCAGTTCCCAGCACCCCCTTCAGGTAGCTCACAACTGTAACTCCAGATACAGGGGATCAGATGCCTCTGACCTCTTGCAGGCACCCACACTCACATGTAGTGCATACACCTACACAGAGCTAAAAAACAATTTTTTAAAAAGCTTGTGCTGCCGGGCGTTGGTGGCACACGCCTTTAATCCCAGCACTCGGAAGGCAGAGGGAGGCGGATCTCTGTGAGTTCGAGGCCAGACTGGATCGAAAGCCTCCAAAACAATACAGAGAAACCCTGTCTCGTAAAAACCAAAAAAAAAAAAAAAAAAAAAAAAAAAAAAAAGAAGAAGAGAAAAAAAGCTTGCGTTTTGGAGCTGTAGAGATGGCTCAGCAGTTAAAAGCATTCGCTGCTCTTGCAGAGGACTCAGGTTCCGTCCCCAGCATTGATACAGCAATTCACAACTCCCATAACTCCAGTTTCAGGGAGTCCAACACTTACCTTTGGCCTCCACATCAGGCACATACATACACTAAAAGGCACACACATAAACAAATATCTTTAATTGCATTTGTTTATTAAGACATGTCTCACAGTGTAGCTAGGGTGGCCTGAAATACACAGTATAGCACACAACGACCTCAAACTCATGGCAATCCTCCTGCCTCAGCCTCCTCAGTACTGGGATTACAGACATGAGATACCATATCAGGCTCATCAATTCAAATTATTTGTTCTCTCGACCTATCAAAAACTGAATAAGATGGTTAAAATTTCTATCTCTCTTCGGTTTCCAACACTTTCTGTTCAGTACCCTCTAAAAGTCACAGCTGTCTTTAGCAATTTTCCACTGTCCTCTGGCCTAGGAGTAAGCTGCAGTCTCTGCTGTCTTCTGACATGTACACTTGAAAATTTTTGACTTGAAATCTGCAGCTATTGCTATGCTCTGATGACATCATATCTGAATTTGAGAAAAACACACTTGAAGTTTTTAAAGTCGGTGATAAGAAGCGGGATTTGTGGAGCAGGGTTCTCACCCTGGACAGTGAAGGGTAGGTGTAAACAGCACTTCCTGGGACAGGAAATGGGGCAGCCTTGGAGGGGCTGGGGTGTGAGAGGAGCATGATTGCACTTCATTCTTGGTTCCTGAGTGTAGGGGCACAAGGAAGAGCCTACAGAAAGCAAACCCCACTCTGAGGTGGGGTCCCCAAGAGGCAGGGTAGGCCCCAGAGGTTGTTGAGTGGGAGCTACCTGTGTATTCATTGGAACAGACAGCAAGGAAGAAGGAGAATGCCTGAGCCAGGATGAGGGGGCTGAGGTCGGTAGGAAAGAAAGAAGGATCTAGAAGCTCCCAGAAGAAGGGAATGGAGTTTCTAAGATTGAGGTCCCACGGTCTGGGGTCCCAGGCTGAAGAAACAAGAGAAAGTGAGCTGAGCACCATCTTTTCATCCCTCTCTGTCTCCTGACCATATACACAGCATGGCCAGTGACATCACTCTCCTGCTGCCCTGCCTTCCCCACCATGATGGACCATGCCCCTTTTCTAAAGAGAAGAAACATGCCTGGCCTAGGAGTGAGTCACACCCATCCTCATGGACGTATAACCACCAGAGCAGAACCCTAGACAGAGTCACCTCTTCTTTGAAGGCTTCTACTCTGGGTCTCAGTCTCCACAGCTATAAAAATGGAGCAACTGGGCCAGCACATGTCTGTGTGACCTCCAGTAACCACGGCCATTGTTGCCATGCTATGGTTGACATGTCCTAAGCAGTAGCTCCAGAAAGATTCAATACACTGCAGAGTCCCCTTGGACAGGCTATAAGTAAGCAGGTCCCTTATGCCCAGCCTCCACATTCACCCAAAAGGGTCTGAGTTCTCAGGGAGGTGACCCAACTGGGCAGCCACACAGCTCCAGGAGAGGGATGGGTCAGGTTACAGCCAGCAGGTCAGATCTGGAGCCATCTGGTAGAGCCCAGCTCCCTGCAGGCTCTCAGGAATGCTGCCAGCCCTATATTCAGGGTTGTGACTTGCCATGGCATGGCCCCAGGCTACCCAGCAGGTATCAGGCTGCCAAGAAGACCTGTGAGAGGCTCTAGGCTGCCCTGCATTCACCTGAGGGTCCAGGAAACCCAAGGCTACCCTGTCCTGGAAGGGGGGCTGGTGGAGACGCACCCCCCGCCCCATCCTCACACAGGCCAGACCAGCTTCCTCAATGTATGTGAATGCCTTTGACTTGAGCCCAGCTGTGTGAGGTCATCCACACAGGATGAAGGCGCCCCCATGCTTTGCTGCCTACCCTGGGCTTTGAAAAGAACCTGGTTTAGTCAAAGCTAGACAAGCCACCCAGGGCAGCAGCCCTGCCTACAATAGGTGCTTGTGCAATACATTCTCATGAGCAGTGAATGGGAGCAGGGAATGGGGACAGGGTGGGGCTACACAAAACTACCCAAGCTGCACCAGACAGAGGGCCACCTAACAGGCCCTAGGGCCACAGGTTCTGCCCCTGCCCTGTGGCCCTCACTAAAATAAGCCATATAGGCAAGGGGATTGTAGGTGTCCCAGCCCTGGTGGGGGGTCAAGGTCCCCGCTGACTCAGACCCTCAGATGGCCTGCTGTGTGCTAGACAGAGAGCAGTAGTTGACTGCACAGAGGGCCTTAGGTCTCCCACCCAGATGGGGAACTGGCCCTGGCTGGCTACTAAGAAGAAGGCCACAACAACAGTGGCAAGTCTGGTGTCTAGGTATAGAACACCTTGCTTCCTTCAAAGCCTCCAGAGGGCATAGTCATATCACCATGAACTCATCCTTGGTCTTCCGACCCTCTGTGACAAAGAGAAGACAAGAAGTAGATTCCCAATCCTTGTATCTCTGGGATCAAGCCTTAAAATGGGACCCATTCTCTAGTCCCAAACCTACCTGTGAGCTACCTGGGCCCCCTTCCCCACTCTAGGCTGCTCCGCCTATTGCCCCCACCAAGGCTTTGGGAACCCCAGAGGTCACTTAGACAGACAGAGGTTCTCCCAGTGTGAACCATGCACCATGCAGAAGCTCGGTTCTTTCCATCAGGCCACAGCTCTGCCCACCCACATCATTCATGCTAACCCAGACATCCCTAAGGTTAGGACCTGGAACTCAGGCCCAGAACCCTAAAACAGACAGAGCCCTGGGGCTAAAAGCCTATGGGACTTCTCACCAGGCATATGCTCCTGGCCCAAAACTCCTTCTAGTCCCAAAGCACATTCAATCAGAATCCTCCACCCAAAATGACAAGAAACACCCCCCCCATTGGGAGGCAGGGGCCTTTGGCAGGTTTCTTATTATTTTTATTAAGGTGAACTTTTTTATACAAAACACAGAAATGCACCTGTTATAAATTCCACATGAGGTCACCATAGTGATTCCTTAATGTCTCTTTCTGGTTCTTCTTTCCGAGCTAGATTACCATATATCCTGCTCCAGGGTGAGCACCCTGTCACCTGCCAAGGTGAGGGACACTTTTCCATGCAGATCTAATTGTCCTAAAGTTTCTTCTACATGTCCTGACCTTATTCTGAGCACCTGTCTGTCCAGGTGGCATTCAATATCCACAGTGCCCTGAAGACAGAGCCCCTCATCCTGGGCTCTGGGTTAACCCTGTAGCAGGCTCAGCTTGTCAGGAGTCCCAGCCGCCATTCACACACTTCCCTCTGACTCTATGCTGACAGGAACTGCCCCACACAGGATGTATTTGACACCTCCAAGGCCCCCTTCAGAG